GGGTGCCGGCAGGGGGGCATGGGTGCCGGCGGGTGGGGGGAGGCCGCCCCGTTCCTGTTGTGCTTGTGTCATCTCTGAGGAAACAGAAGCCTCCGGGGCGAGGCACGGATCCCTCTACTCCTAATAGAGACCGGGACAGGGTTTCTGTCCTCCAGTGTCTGAGCTGCCCCAGCAGACAGCTGGACGAGGAGGACCCTAAGGAGCTGCTAAAGGTCAGATCTTCCTGGGACCCATTTTCAGTTTTCATTTTTGGTAATTTGTGATATTTAGGCTATCATAGCACAATTGGAACAATTATTTGTGATTCACAATGTGTAGGTGATCTCGTGTGCTTTTGAAGTGTCCGTCACCTTCCTGGCAGTACCACACTTTAACTCTCTCTAGGAAGTCACGAGGCAAAACCGTCATACTCTGGGGAGGTGACATGTCCTTGGTTGCCTTCTTGATAGGGAGTCTCTCCACGCAGGGCAAAGTTTTGCCCTTGATCCTGGGAGGATGGGACTGAGTATTGCCTTGACCACCTATGCATCTGTAGTGCCACCATGGTCCTCATACCCTGTGGACTTTGTCATGATGATCTCCTGAGCTCAGCTCCTCCCCACTGTCGCATTCCGAGGCATCACTTGCTGCACACTCTTGTTTTCTGACAGCAGCCGGGGGCTCAGTCCCACAGTGAGGCCTCCTGGGAGGCTGGGTGGAGTTGAGTGAGGGGGCACTTTCTGGCTGATAAGGAGGTGCAGGGGGGTGTGTCATGCCTCTGAAGGTTTCTGGGTCCTAAACTTAACCAAGAAGCAGAACGTGGCACGGGGACAGAGAATAAAGGCAGTGTCTAGAAAGCCTTCCCCCAACTTGAGGTCCACCTTGAGGCATGGGACCCACCCCGACCCTCTCAATGTCACCTAATAGTCCTGGAGGAGCTAGGAGGGGACCAAACAAGTGAGACACATGAGGCTCAGTAGAGCCCAGGCTGGGTGCCAGGGACACTCCTCGGCCATCTCCTTACTGCCTGAGTCAGGGTGAAATCCTACTGTGTCCCAGAGCAAGGAAAAGGAACACTTTCTGGTGGCTCTGCCTTTGTCTCAAGGATTCCAGGATCGTTTTCATATCTGGGCCCCACCTGGCACCTGTCCTGAAGTGGGTGTGAGAAGCCAATGGAGGAGACAGGCTCCTCCCTAAGAAATCAAGGGTTCACGCCCAATGGAAGCATCAACAGTGCCGGCCTGGGCGGCCCGGGTCGTGCCAGGCCTGGAGGCAGAGTGTGGTCTGGAGGGTCGGATGTCAGCTCAAGCAAGGCAGGGCCGAGCACCGAGGTGGGGACCCCAGACGTGGGGCTGGTGGAGTACCTGGGGCCGAAGGGAGGTTACTGAGGGATCCCCGGTGCTGCTGAGGATGTAACTGGAGCAGGGGCGGGCTGTGCTCTGGACTCACCAGGGGCACAGTGACAGCCACAACCGGGCATCAGGACAGTCCAGAAGGGTGGAGGGGGCCCAGGAGGTCCTACAAGGTCTAGGTGGGTTGAAATGAGCTTGGCCCTAAAGAGGGAAACACAACTTTTGGCTTTCCTTTACTTCATTCTTTTTTCTCCTGATTTGAAAACTCACCCACCGCGAACCCCATCCTCAGCCCCAGCCCCACCCCCACCCCGAACCCCATCCTCAGCCCCAGCCCCACCCTCACCGCGAACCCCATCCTCAGCCCCAGCCTCTGTCCCAGCTAGTGGGTCAAGACCTGTGCCTCAGGATCCCTCTGTGGCTCTCTCCAAGGGCTACCAGGAGAGGCCGATCTCAACTAGCTGGGGAAACCTTATTGCGATGGTTCTTAGGAGCCACCCCTTCCCCAGACAAGAGAGGGCCCCAGGGAGGACCCCAGGAGCAGTTCCTGGGAGCCCTACAGGTGCCACCACTTGCACACACTCTGAGGACAGACAGTCCGGCTCTCCCTCTGAAGGGGCTTTCTCCAGCCTCGAGGACAGGCACAGCTCTTCAGTGGGGACAGTCGTAGGGGTAGGCGGAGGGGGCCTGGCTGAGACTGGATCTCGGCCACAGCCAAGAAGCTCCGAGACGAGCGGGGCTCCCACACCAGGCCCTCCCCCAGGCCCAAGAGGAGATGAAGCCAAGGAGAAAAGTCTAGACTCGCTGCCCCAAGCCGCGAGGCCCAGGGCCCCATCACAGCACCCTGTGCAGACGCAGCCAAGCCGGGTCTCACAGCCTGTTCCCCAGCCACGGTCACGGAAACACAGCACGTGTGACGTAGCTCAGAGCTCTGAGCAGGAGGCCAGCCAGGCGGCCCCAGGGCGGCCCCAGGGAGAGGCACCTGGGGAGGGGCCCAGCCCTGCAGGCAGCAGGGAGGCGCTCACAGAGAAGCCGACAGAGGCCCGAAAACTCGGGGGTTTTCTGCAGAGGCCCGGGAGCTGGGGGTTGGCGGAGGGGCCCCAGAAGCCCCTCTCACGGGCCCTGGAGCAGAGCGCGGCGGCGGCTCTGCGGCAGCGGCTGGACCTGGGCAGCTGCCTGGATGTGCTGGCCTTTGCCCAGCAGTGCGGGGAGCGCGGCCTGGCTCAGGAGACGTACGCGCTGATGAGCAACAACCTGCTGCACGTGCTGGGGAACCCGCACCTCTACCGGCAGCTGAGTGGGGCTGACCGGGAGCGCATCCTGAGCCTGCGAACCGGCCGGGGCCAGGCGGTGCTGGGGGTCCTCGTGATGCCCAGCCTGTACCAGGTGAGCACAGGGCTCACAAGGGGCCCTTACGGTGAGGAGGCCCCTGCAGCGGGGCCCGCGCCCCTGCCTCCTCGCACGTACCTACATGTGTTCAACCCCCGAGAGAACATGTGGCGGCCCCTGACCCAGGTGCCCGATGAGGCCCCGCTCCGGGGCTGTGGCCTCTGCACCATGCACAACTACCTGTTCCTGGCGGGGGGCATCCGTGGCTCCGGTGCCAAGGCCATCTGCTCTAACGAGGTCTTCTGCTACAACCCTCTGACCGACATCTGGAGCCAGGTTCGGCCCATGCAGCAGGCCCGAGCCCAGCTCAAGCTGGTGGCCCTGGATGGGCTACTCTACGCCATTGGGGGCGAGTGCCTGTACAGCGTGGAGCGCTACGACCCGCGCACAGATGCCTGGACCTCACGTGCGCCCCTCCCCTCAGGCACCTTCCCTGTGGCCCATGAGGCTGTGGCCTGCCGTGGGGACATCTATGTCACAGGAGGTCACCTCTTTTACCGCCTGCTCAGGTACAGCCCCATGAAGGATGCTTGGGACGAGTGCCCCTACAGTGCCAGCCACAGGCGCTCCAGCGACATTGTGGCACTGGGGGGCTTCCTGTATCGCTTTGACCTGCTGCGGGGCGTGGGTGCTGCAGTGATGCGCTACAATACGGTGACCGGCTCCTGGAGCCGGGCGGCCCCCCTGCCCCTGCCCGACCCTGCCCCGCTCCGCTGCACTGTGCTGGGCAACACCATCTACTGCCTCAACCACCGGGTCACAGCCACCTTCACGGTCTCAGAGGGGACTGCTCAGTTCCAGGCCAAGGAGCTGCAGCCCTTCCCCCTGGGGAGTAAGGGGAGTCTCTGTCCATTCACCCTCACTCTGCCCACCGGAGACCGCCTGCAGACCTCACTCTGAGTGGCCTGTGGAGAACCAGGGCTGCCACGACTGCTGTCCAGGAAGACCCGCTGTCTGGGTGTATCTGAGGGGACGTGGGGCATGGGAAGGGGCTGGGATCAGAACCTTCTGCTCTTGTTTTTGGGACAACTTTCCCTTTATAAGGAGGCTCCTGCTTTAAAGGTTGTCAATTATCTCTGGAATATGATTCCTTCCACCGTCCCTCCCCTTGGATCCAGACTGTCCTAATTCACCTGCTCATAGACTGCCTCAGCTCACACACGCGTCACCCCTGTGTCTGGGACTCCCTGACAGCCAGGGACTGATGTGTCCTCATGGGGCTCAGCTGAGCCAAGGAAGGAGATGGCTAGAAACCCTCTCGTGCTCCTGTGTTCTGTCAAAGGGGAAGGAGCAAAGAAATCCCAGGATGTGCACCTGCCTCTCGGACTTTCTTCCATCCTGAGACTTTTTGGAGCCTGGCTTGGCTCGCCCCAGGCACCAACCAGTAGCCACCGGATTTGACTGGTGCTGTGGACCATTAAGGGTCTAGAACCCTGTCTGTGAAACTGGGTTGGACCTTGCCCATTACCCCAGTCCAGGCTATGCCAGGACTACTCGGGCTCACGTCCCTCTGCAGCCTTGTAGGGCCTCTCCCAGCCCCTCCAGAAGCCCACCCCACCTGAATGAGACCTGAGTTTCACCCTATTTCTGCCTCTTATTAGCTGTGAGGACTTCCCTATTTCCTTGTCTGTAAAATGGAGGTAATGGACATCTGTCACCCAGGAAAGCTGTGAGGCCTGAGGCCACAAATGCCCGAGACGTGGCGTAGTCCATGTGTTCTCTCCCCTCACCCATGCTGAAACCCACTTTAGGGAGGTAAATAAACCTGACTGAATACTGCAGCCTGTCCTAAATTCTGGCCTGGTTTGTCCCTCTCAGGCCTTTTGCTTTTTATTCTAGGCTTAGCACCACTGTCACCGAATACGTGTTTAGTTCATTGAAAACATCTGCATCTCACAGCTGTCATGTTGTGTACATGGTTGGATGTGCAGCTGGGCAGACCACAGTGCAGGACAGGAGGGTCCCTGGGTTGTACTTGAAAATAAGTTTATTGAGAAACAAGTACTGTGCGTACAGCTACAGGTTCACGTCGCTGTCTCTGTCCCCAGGGGCTTCTCTGCACAGGTGAGGGTGGCATGGTGGCATGGGGTGCAGGCAGCGCTACTGCTTGTGCTTGGTCTCTCTCAGCAGCTCTTGCCAGTTCTTCTCCATCTCCTCCTTGCAGTTGAGGAAGGCGTCCTCCAGCCGGCGCATGGACTCCGCCAGTGAGGGGTTGGTGCGCATCACCACCATGTCGTAGGCCATCCAGGTTGCCTGCACTGCAACAACCAGACAAGCCTGGTCAGGCCAGGGGTGGGCTGCAGCTCTTGGGCACCCTGCGGAGCACCGGACCCCCCCTGGAGACACCCAATCACTCTAAGGAGAGAAAGCTGGTAGGCTACATGTTATAAGGCTCATAAAACCCCTATGAAAACACCTTCCTACAAACAGCTGTAATTACATTTCCTAATCTCCTGTAAGCCTTAACTTCTGGATACATGAGCCCATGACATTCAAAGGCTGGAGGCCAGTCTGATATGAAACGTGAGGAAAATGAATGCAAACCACTGGTCCTCACCTACACGCAGTTCACAGCTAGTGGCTGCAGAGTGACCCCCAAAGAATCACAACATACACCCCAGCTCACATGCTCAGGTAGGGTTGACCACACCCAGTCCTGCCAGGCCCCGAGCCTAATGTCACCTCCTGCTCAGTGGCCTGGGATGCCTGCCCTCCTCCACCTGGGTGCCTTTGTGCTTTCCTGAAGGCCCAGGCCAGGGGCTCCTCCTCTTGGGAAGGTTTTACTGCATCCATTAAGTGTGCTGAGCACTCACCACTGTGCTGACAGGCCTTCCTGCTCTTTCCTTGTGGCAGTGTTCCTGGAACCCACAGGTGAACACATACTTCTTGTACAAACTCCATGGAAGTGTGCAGAAACCCTTCTCTCTGCACCCACTGGTGTGGTCCTAGCCTCGAGAACTGCCCAGAACAAAGATCATCTCCCCTCTGCATGACAGCTGACCATAGTAAATACATCCCCTTAAAACCCTTCTTTGTTGGGCTAAAAAAAAACATGAATACATTGGGAAAATACATCCTCAAGGAAATTAACCAAAGAGGATATAGGCAGAATGATTAATAATAAATGCACATGGGTATCTACACACAGCCAAGGCCAGCAGTGTGGAGACAGAAAACCACATCTGTTTATTTAGGGAAAAATTGTTTAAAAAAAGGTATGTATGGTCTCTCAATAGACAGAGGTCATAGGACTATGTAGTTAGTACAGCAGTTCTTGAACTTTTGGATGCCTGTCACTTGGGACACTTCTTAAAATGTAGACTGCTGGCCCCTCCCACACTCATAGAGGTTCTTGTCTAGCAGGCTGAGGATGGTGGCCAGGAACCTATATCCTAACAAGCATCCGGATCATTCTGGTACAGGATATCTGCAGACTACCCTTTTAGACCACTTGGAAAGCAGGTTTGCTCCCCCGCTCTCCACTTGCTAGCTGTGTGACCTTGAACATGTGATTTAAATTCACTAACCTCAGTGTCTTCAACTGTGAAGTAGAGATTTCTGGTACAGGATATCTGCAGACTACCCTTTTAGACCACTTGGAAAGCAGGTTTGCTCCCCAGCTCTCCACTTGCTAGCTGTGTGACCTTGAACATGTGATTTAAATTCACTAACCTCAGTGTCTTCAACTGTGAAGTAGAGATTATGTAAACTGCCATATGTAAACTGCCTAGCACACATGTCATACACCGACTGTTTGTGACCCCCCATCCCCATTCTTATGTTGAAATCCTAACCCCCAATGTGATGGTGTTAGCAGGTGGGGCCTTAGGGAGATGAGCAGGTCACAAGCGTGGAGCCTCATGAATGGTATCAGTGCCCTTACAAGAAGAGAGACTAGAGCTTGCTGTCTCACTCTCTGCTCTTGGCTGGGTGAGGACACATGAGAAGGTGACATCTGCAAACCAGGAAGAGACTTCTCACGAGGCACTAGATCTGCCAACACCTTGATCTTGGGCTTCTCAGGCTCCACAACTGTGAGAAATAAATGTTTGATTTTCTTAAGCCACCTAGTCTATGGTTATAGCAGCCCAAGCTGACTAAAACAGAAACTGGTACCAAGAAGTGGGTGCTGCTTTAACAAATACCTGAAAGTGTGGAAGCAGCTTTGGGACTGGGTAATGGGTAGAGGCTGGAAGAAGTTTGAAGGCATGCTAGAAGCTGATATTGCCATGAGGGGGGTTTAAAAGGTGGTTCTGGTGAGGGCTCAGAAAGAAAAGAGAAGATTGGGAGAGAAAGCCTCTAGTTTCTTAGAGAATATATTAGTAGTCATGAACAGAATGTTGATAGAAACCTAGATGGTAAAGGTCATTCTGATGAGGTCTCACACAAAAATGAGCAACATTTATTTGAAACGACAAAAAGTGATCCTTGTTATAAAACCGCAAAGAACTTGGCTGAATTGTGTTCATGTTCTAATGTTTTGTGGAAAGTAGAACTTGTAAGCAATTAAGCTGAAAATTTAGCTGAGGGAATTTGCTGGAAAAAAGGAGAAACTCTTATTATAAAATAAATAATTGAGGTAGTCAGGGCAAAGAGCTAGGATGGGTAAGAAATAAAAATTCAGGGGAAAACACAGCTCACAGAAATGAATCTCATATAGTTCTACATAGCAGGTGGAATTCTAACTCTTGAGTTTCCTAGGCCGAAGCAGAGAAGGAAACATGCTAAGTTATGAGTCCATGATCATAAAATAAAAACAAATACATTGTTTAAAACACATTTATCCTAAAAGAAAATTTTCCTATGGGTCTTCTTTATGCGAGGTGTGTAATGAAGTTGAAAATGACCCTAATGACATCCCTTACTTTAAATGCAAGGTGGTCCCTCTGTGTCTGCTACTAGTTGTGATCACTAGTAGCATAGCACCAAAGCACAGGTCAGAAAGGTAATTCAATATGACACCAGAACACTGTAGCAAGTGCATAGCCCTCTTGTCATTTGATCCAAGGAAAAATTTTTAGAATAAATAGCATAGGAAGGACTTACAATCATCAGAAAATCCTCCAGAAACATGTGTCTTGAGTTTTTCATTCATTTGATATTTATTGAATACCACTTTGTGCTGGCATTTGACTAAGGCAGTCCTGGGGATACAGCAGTATACAACACAGCTACACCCGCCCTTGTGAAGTGTAGGTACTAGTTGCAGTGAGAGGAGACAGATAATAAACATACAGTTACAGATTGTGAAAGATGCTGTAAAGGAAATACGCAGCATATGTTGTGACAGAGAAATGGGGTGGAAGGAGTCTTAGAGATACACACACATATAATAAAAATTTGTGTGTGTGTGCATGTGTGTGGGTCTGTTTCTGGGCTCGCTGTTGTATTCTGTTGCTCAACTTGTCTGCTCCTAAAACAATATAACAGTCTTAATTATATAGCTTTATATAATTATAGTTATATAATATATATAGCTTTGTAAATTATATAGTTTTATAATAAATCTTGCTAATTGTAGGGCAAATCCCTTATCCTCATTTGTCTACCTCAGAAGTATCTTAGCTATTTCTTCTCTTATGTCTCTCATAAATGTTTTAGAACCAACCCATCAAGTTTGATGAAAAACCCTAATAGGATGTTGATTAGAACTGCTCTGAACCATTGGGTGGAATTTGGGAAGAACTGACACATTTATTACACTAAGGCTTTCTATTCATGAATGTGGCTATGGCTCCATTTATTTCTTTAGTCAAGTTTTAAAATTTTCTGCATACAGGACTTGCACATTTCTTGTTAAACTTCTTATGAGGTAATCTATAAGTGTGTGCATGTATGTGTGTGTGTGTATTGCTGTTGTTGTTAACTGTAAATGGTGCCTTTAAAAAATGTGTTCTAATTCTTCCCTGCTTAAAATATAAATATTGCATTAAAATGCAATTAAACTTTGTATACAGATCTTATATCCAGCCACCTTGCTAAAATTTATTATTTCAAATCTTTTTTTTTTTTAAAAAGATGACCGGTAAGGGGATCTTAACCCTTGACTTGGTGTTGTCAGCAATGCTCTCCCAAGTGAGCTAACTGGCCATCCCTATATAGGGATCCAAACCCATGGCCTTGGAGTTATCAGTACTGCATTCTCCCAAGTGAGCCATGGGCCGGCCCTTTTCAAATTATTTTTGTTTTAAATGTTCTATGTAGATGTGGTAGCCAGCCTCCAAGTTGGCCTCCAGTAGTTCCTGCCTTCTGGCAGTCACACCCTTGGGTAGTCCTGTCTCATATTGTGCCAGAGTTGATCCCTGTGACCAGTAGACTATGGCAGAAGTGATGATATGCCACTTCAAGATTTGCTCTGAGGAAAGTTATGTAATGACCAGCCCTATGAAGAGGCTACATAGAAAGCCTCCAACCAACAACTATGTGACCTTTGAAGCAGATTCTCCAGCCCCAACTCAAGATTTGGAGACTGAAGCCACTGCTGACAGATTGACTGCAATCTCATGAGAACCATATCCAGAACTACCCAGCTGAGCCACTCCCAGATTCCTGACCCTCAGAAACCATGTGATAATAAATGCTTTGAGTTTTAAGCTCCTGAGTATGGGTTAATTTGTTATGTGGCAAAAGATAACAAATACAGATTTTGGTACTGGGAATATAATGCTGCCGTAAGAAAAGCCTAAACTTCGAGAGAGGCTTTGGGATGGGGCAGTGACTGGAAGCTGGAAAAGCTGTAAGAATTCTGAGGAGACCATTAGTGAAAGTTTAAAGTGCCTTTAAACACACTGCTCATAAAATTTTCAACTTTAAGGAGGCTGCCAATAAGGGCTTATGGAGAAGTGAGGAAAATCTTATTGCAAACTGGAGGAGGTCCTTGTTATGTGGAGGCAGAAAGTTTAGCAACACTGTCACAAAAAGTAATTTGGAAGGTAGAAAATGTACCTAATGAACTATTTATTAGGATTTACCTATATGTATAACATTTTATTTGACCTCCATTGCATTGTGGATTTCAGACCTTCCTTCTGGGATCATATTCCTTTTACCTGGTGCAACTTTTAGAGTTCCTTTAGAGCAGGTCTCTTTGTGATTAATATTGTCAGTTTCGTTCATCTGCAAATATCTTTATTTTGCCCTCATTTTTGAAAGATGGCTTTTCTAGATGCATAGTTCCAGGTTGATAGTGTTGTTTATGACATGTGGATATTATTCCACTAATTCCTGGTTTTCATGATGGTTGCTGAAAATGCATTCC